AACGGCTCCTTTCAAATTTGAATAAATGGTCTCACCTCACATTTGTAGACCGTTTCAAACAACGGCCAGAAAAAGCATATAACAAGGATATTACTGAAGAAACTGTTGCTCGTGCTTTTAACCAATGGCAGGTTAAAAACTTCAGTCTCATCAATCATTACGAAGGACTGTGGTCGACATTCAGAATCTGGAATATTCTATGCTCTGACTAATCTCTTAAGTGTAATAAGATTTTGAACAAACAACTACCACATACGAGTCGGTGTTATGATACAACGATTTTACCAACAGCCTTGAGCATCTGCTTCAGCTGTAAACTTATCATGACGTACGGACAAACTTGTCTTACTCGGAATTTATAGTTCGGTGAAAGCTGATAATGTGCTGCAGACAAACTGATTTGTGCACAATCCTTCGAATTCCGGACAGTTTTGTGAGTCATTCATCTTCTTTACGCAACACAGACCTGATATGATGGGATGAAAAAGGCAGAATCAAGTTTTTAACCCACTGTAATTCTTGTTCAAAATTAAATTCATTTTAAATTCAGTAGCATGATAATTAGGTGTACGGTGTTTCTACTTTCAGTGGAACATTTTGTTCAGTACAACAATGATTTATTTCAGTGCAATGTTTATTCAAAATATGATGTTTTTGTACTGAATTATCGTGAATTATATTCTACATGACAGGCGGCGCCCTATTTTCGACTAGAGCCGCCGCGTCTATTTCGGAGTCAGGAAACCTTCATTTCTACCAGTCATCCATGTTCTTACATAGCGTCGTGGAAATTATAGTGGTCCCTTGTTTTCAAATATAAGTAATAGGCAACGCGGATATAACAGGACTGTAGGGTCGATGAAATGTCACTGAGCCCTAGCCAAATCATCCGGCAGTTCAGTCACTGAATATCGAATACGTCATCGATTCCTGTCGAAGTCAAGGACAACCAACGCGCGTCAGTTAATTGTACGCTATAGGCTGACCCGTGCGGTAGTGCTCACACGTTCGTCTGTACCTACTCTAAATAATACATTTCAGCAGTAACGTCCTTTGTGTTATACGAAATTCAAAGAAACAGTAGTACCTCGACAAGATGAAGGGACAAACCACGTTAGGTGTTGACCGTGAGGTGTGACTTCGAAGTTAGCTGTTAGTCACACCGTTTCCATCTAACTCAAGTGGGCCCCCAAACATTTAACATACATCATCTACGTTTGGGGACCTACAAGACAATTACTCATATTTAAACAGACAACGCAAAATAATTAGTGACCATGAGGAGACTGCAACAGTTTTTGACTGGAAGACTAAATCAAGACATTGGGAAAATGTGGAGTTTGAATTAACTAATGATTCTTTTGTACTTGTTGAATGCTCGATTTCAAATTCTAAATACAATACATTCGTTTGTGCCTGTGTCTTCGTAATTGAATTGCGTTAATCCTGGAATTCCTAGTTCATACGACAATTAGTATACCATAGAAAACCATGTGACCTTCGGGAGATCTGAAAAATTAGTAGACATTTGTCAGTTTATAAAAAGGTTTTTCCTAGATTTTCGTGTTTTGTAACATTACTGTAAGGTTTTTTGCGCTTAAATACCCCAAAAATAAAGGTAAACTTTGTGATATAAATTTATATATTTTTGTGAAAAGATGGAATTCTGAGGTGTGTAATGAAGCTGTTACCGCTAACACGAGTTAAGGTATTTTATGTCAGTTTTTATTTAGTCTCTGAAATAATGTATCTTTAGTGAAGCACTGGGATACCATCAGGATAATTTTTCGACTAGCACTCCTAATATTCTGTCGTATTTTCTAAGCAGACTGGAAGATGACTGAATGTTGGAAGAAATAAAGCATTGTAAGCTCCACCTATTATTCAGCACATGATTCCATAGCGCAAGCTTGGATGACTGAGTGCTGCAAAGTCAACTGAGGAATAATAGTTCAATGATACTTAGGGAAATATCACTATATAGTGTGTAAAGATGTCAAGACAATCCATGTCTTATTGAAGCCGTTGTCCATTACACTTTTATGACCGAAAAATTTCGAATCCCGTCAAATCAGAAGTCAGGGGTGATATGTTTGAAGATATATTCGTTTTGTTTAGGAATATATGATATAAGTTGGCTAGTTGTTGCGAAGGATGCCTAGCAGAGCGTACTCAATGGTGGTTTGGGCTAGGAACCTTCAGACATGGCATTTTTAGTAAATCTAACGAGGCTAGTATAATTACTGAAGAATTAAAGAACTGTTTATATTGGTAATTCTTTCACCGTGGCGGCTTACACCTTCCTAGTGTGGTAGTGATGACTATAAGACTTCACCATTCAGAAATGTGAACCCGACGAGCATGCCGTTGGCAAACACTTTTCCGATAGCTTGTTATTTCAATCAACGTCTTGCCTTTTTTTCCTACTCTAAGGAGCCATGTGGCGAATAATAATGGAAACTGTTCAATGGACAGTTCGATAAATCATCTTAGCCTTGATCTTTCAACTTTTTCAGAAAGACTGGAAAAAATAGCATGGAAATGTAAGTGTAGGACGAAATTCACTTATACTTGTGCAAAAAAACAAAACGTGGAAAATAGCCGTCATATATGGGAACAAATACCATGGGACAGTGAAAAGGTATACATGGAAAGGTTTTTTGAAATATTTTGCAAAAATAGTTTATATGCACACATATACTAGCACATAAAAGATATTTTGATTTGATTTTTATTAATCTATCCAGAAAAGAAGTCCAAATGGTTCAAATGGTTGTGGACGGAATAGAAGGAGCTTTCGTTTAACGGGCTTCCGTGTCAAGTAGCAGTGAATCACCAATATTTTTTAGTTTTTATGTAACAGAATTTGAAAATGTAAACAAATAGCCGATTAACTCGAGAAACAAGACAAACAGACTACGCTTATAGAACGTCGTACATGCAGTAGTCGTTCAAGTGTTCTAGAAACCTCACAGTCCTTCCAGAGCACGTCGTTTTAGTCCGGCTACTGAACACGAGAGAAGTTTCTTCGTAGATATTGACTGTCGAGGATTTTTTTCTTTGAATTTTTAGTGAAAAAATCAACAGGAAGGAGTTTGCCTTCCTAGAAAGCAGCTTTTTCCCATTTGATGCTGATGTTTTTTTAGGTCCGTCCTTTTAGTGATATGAAGTGTGACATACAAAAACAGTGTACTCAGTCATAAGATGAGTTGAACCAAAACATCAATTGATTGCAGTCGAGTGGAAGCAGCTTTAACTGAACGCGTCGCGTTCCCAAGCTAATTCATGGTAATGTCTGGATCCATATTCACTGTAGAAGATGAGGAATATGCAAAGTCGCGTGTTTGAATCATGTCCGGATGCAGCAAATCCAACGTGAGCTTTCACACCGAATCGCGAGAAACATGAGTTGGAGAGCGTCAGACCATTGTGATAACTTTGCAGCTGAAAGTGCGGTTTTCAACCGTCGGCGAAGTCATTCTGCCAACCTATTTATGTATTGGGATTTCAGTTGTTTTGTAATGACAACATAGATGTTACTTTTCCTAGCCACCGCGTTATAATAATCGAGGTTTGAGATTTATCAGTTACTTTGGTTTTGGCTCAATTTAAGCGGTCATATCATCCGTATTCAGTCTTAGCTGACTACGGATGAAAACACTGGATATTTGGCAACACTGGCGTTAAATATGTTCCTAAAATCGATTGAGGGAGACGATGATGGGTAATGTAAAAGCAATATGGAGAAGTTAAATGCAGAAGTACTATTATGCGTAGCTTCTAAGCCGGACAGTTATTGTAGAGGATACGTTGTGTAAAGGAATGAAGCGTGACTGGTTATTGACCAAGCGCTTTCAGTCAGCGATAGGTTTAGTAAAACTAACGTAGTTAGCATCAACATCAAATGTTCACAAATTCATCTACTTGAAGGATATACTTACCACTCTGATTCCCAGTGAAATGTGAGTAGTCTGATGGCTTTAGGTAGTAACTCCAATGAAACAAACGCTGAAGATATGTCATATACGATAGGACTGAATTGTACAATAATAAGTACGTTATTTAAAAAATAAACAATGACCATTGAAGATGAGAGGAAAAACACGTAGAAGTAAGGCAACATTTAGATGAAATTGGGACCACGAAGTCAAGTATCCACAGGAGAAGAAACGTTTCAAATGGAGTTTACTAGGATTTGGATACCGCAGTTGATCGAGCGCCCTCAGGTCGTAGGGTTGATTGCAACTAATAATGTAGACACCAACACTGAATATCCACAGAGCTCTTTATCTTCAAGAGTTATTCGAATTTACAATGTATATATACTTCTGAAGTCTAATTCTCTTACTGTTACCAGTTACAGAGAGAAATAAAAGCCATTCAAATGTGGAATTCAGTATGAGCTCTTCAGCCTCTTCATGCGGAAGTTTTTATTTTATTGTCAGAAAATTAGAAATCCACCTGTCGAACGTTTGAAGTTTGATGATCGTATGTACTTTAACACTTCAAAGTGTAAAGTAGTCCATCTGCGACATGTCGCAAATTACAGTTACAACTTAGGAAACTCCTCTCTAGTAGTATCCCAAGTCGAAAAGGATTTAGGAGTCCTGATGCCCCATGACTTAAAGTCTTACGCTAACTGTGACAAAAATGCCTTCCGAGCAAACCTTGCACTGGTAACGTTGAAGCGCATTTTTGGCCAGTTTGACGGAAGAACTTTCCATACAATCTTCAATAGTTTCATCCGTCCCCATTTAGAGTACGGAAACATAGTACTCCCCCCCTCACTCCAAAAGGACAAGGTCACTTTGGAGCGTATCCAACGGCGAGCCACGAAATCAGTTCGAGGACTCAAATCTAAGCATGTAGTGACTCACATTTATCACGAGAACACGACTGGTTTAATAAAAACAATTATTATTATAACCAAGTGTACCAGTGACTGTTTTAATGTGCTTTTGTTTGACTGTGCTAATGACAGCTATTTTGTTCTTCCATTCTCTTACTTACTCTTTGATTGTAACTTCGCGCGAATTCGATTACGTTCTGTAACCAAGATTGTATCCTGGCACGATCTCGGTGTCCTTTCGATGCCACGAGATCGCCAGCAAATAAACATCGACTTGGTCCATTAATTGCCTTCTGGTATTCGGCTTCTCGGGGATTTTATGGAGTCATTTGGAACGAGCTACTTACGCTTTCTGATTTATCTGGCACGTGTTTCTTGGTAGCGGTGTTCATAGTTAATCTCAACTCGACGCCACGCTACAATTGGTAATCCCAATTCGACTACATTTGGTGACCCGTATTTTGGAACACGCCTCAGCTTCTGGTCAAATCTTCCAAAGAAGCCAATTCGGTGAGTCTATGATTTATCTATCCACGTCTGTCGTATATTTTCATATTTTTTAATATATGATATACGCGACATGACGGATAACGATAAGAATAGTATTAATATAATAGACTCACACGTATGTGTACCGAATCCTTGTCACTTTTTATTCGCGTGATGATGAATTCCACGCTTTATTCGAGAAATGTTACCCTATTAACGATTCTCCTCGCTGACCCGGCTGCTTGGTACGGAATGCATACGCATAAGCATCTCCGTCTACCACCCAGCACCAAATGGTTAAGTTGAACGGTTTCACTGCCAACTTAAAAGTGTTCTACGAGCACACGAAAACGGCAACTGGCACGAAACCATACCGCTCGTTCTTTTAGGGGGAGAACGAGCTTAAAGGCAGATATCCAATGTTCCGCCACTGAACTTGTATACGGCACGACATTGCGTCTGCCCGGAGAATCTTTCACACCACGGAGCAGACCTAATTTTGGTAAATCAGACAACGTCCGTCGACTGTCTGCATTTATGTGAACGCTGTCTCCGGTGTCAACTCGAATACAACATCGACAGGTCGCTCTCCCTCGAGAGTTATCTACCTGTTCACATGTTTTTGTACGAGTAGATTCGGTACGCAAACCTTGGCAACAACCTTACGAAGGCCCTTTTCACGTGATCGCTCGTCACGAAAAGACCTTCAAGGTTGATCGACATGGACGCGTCGAGATCGTCAGCGTTGATCGTCTCAAACCAGCACACGTCGATGACAGTGCCCTATCTGGTAACCTGAGATTCAATGCTAGACCTATTAAACCTAGCGGGATCCTTAAATCTTCAGGTCCCACGCTAGATGCATCTGAGACCTCATTCTCACGTCCCGGTCAACAGCACGCGTCATCTGCACCGTCTACGGACGAGACGATAGTCTCACGTCCAGATCAGCAGACCACGCCGCCTCTGACCTCGGATGAGATTGCAGGCTCACGCGACGCGAACGAGACTGCCGTCTCACGTTCCGGTCGCCGAGTACGGTTACCCGTACGCTTCCGCGAATAGTCGCACAGTCAGCTACCGATACGGTGTAGGATTATTCCTATACTACACGTATGCTACACTCTTCTTTTTTGATTTTCTTTTTGTTTCCTGAGCCCACGCCTTCGACCATCTCCGTTTGGTTCCGTCGACTTCAGTCAACTTTGGCGAAAGCTGGATTGGCCACCCATGCTCTTGTCAACGCACTCAGTCGATATATTGGTTTCGAACGCTTGGCACACGCTTGGTCTCGAACTTGGTCGTTACGGTCGCTTCTGGTCTTTTGGCTCAACGTGGTTTCGTCCTTCGTCTGCAGCGTTCCTGGTCCGCACCCTACGAACGCCCTCTTCAGATTCTGGATACAAACCACTCTCGTGTAGCATGCCAACTCGAGCAATCAATACAACACATCGCTCCTGGTACTGTTCTCCGAAAACGACCTTCGTTGGCAACTCGACGATCAACGATCGCTTTCCTGTTCGCCAATCTTTCCGTCCTACAATCGCTCGTCAGCCGATCAGTCCCACGATTCAAACCGCTATTTATCGAAAGTGTAAACCCTTTCTAGCGGGGGGCTCCTGTAGTGACTCACATTTATCACGAGAACACGACTGGTTTAATAAAAACAATTATTATTATAACCAAGTGTACCAGTGACTGTTTTAATGTGCTTTTGTTTGACTGTGCTAATGACAGCTATTTTGTTCTTCCATTCTTTACTTACTCTTTGATTGTAACTTCGCGCGAATTCGATTACGTTCTGTAACCAAGATTGTATCCTGGCACGATCTCGGTGTCCTTTCGATGCCACGAGATCGCCAGCAAATAAACATCGACTTGGTCCATTAATTGCCTTCTGGTATTCGGCTTCTCGGGGATTTTATGGAGTCATTTGGAACGAGCTTCTTACGCCTTCTGATCTAATTGGCACGTGTTTCTTGGTAGTGGTGTTCATAGTTAATCTCAACTCGACGACACGCTACAATTGGTAATCCCAATTCGACTACAAGCATTACGAAGAACGCCTCCGTTCACTAGACCTTTACCCACTAGAATATAGGCGTCTTAGAGGTGATTTACTAATGGCTTATAGCATTCTTAACACTTCTGGACATCCTCTTAAACACCTACTTAAGCTTAGTTCGAATAATAACCTAAGGGGTAACACCCAGAAACTGGAAACACAACATAGCAAGACGGAATGTAGACACAACTTCTACTCCTTAAGAGTTGTCAAAAGCTGGAATTCGCTGCCGGCCGAGCTAGTCCAAGCGACTTCTCAGGAGTCCTTCAAGAGGCAACTTGACCTATTCTTAAGGACCAAGGACAGCATCACATTATGATTTACCAATTTCTTTTCCTTTTTTATTGTTAACATACCTAGGTTCCTGCCTGGAGGATTTGGTGATCCCCTGCTACTAGACACGGAAGCCTGTTAAGCGAAAGCTTCTTCTATTCCGTCCACAACCATTTGAACCATTTGAACCATTTGAATACTTTGAGCGGGCTTTCAGTGCGTTTATTTTGACTTTCAACGTAACGTCGTACGGTCTGTTTTCTCAGGCTTCTCTACAGTTTAGTAGAAGGAGTTGGTGGACTTCTGCCTTCTCAAAACTACTTTTCAAATCCTTTGTGTTTGGACGTTCTCCAGACCACTGTTGCGTGGCTACCTATCGTACAGGTTTTAAAATGGATGCTGTTGTGCTACCACAACCTAACGGAGACATTCTAAGCAGTCCTGAAAATGGAATCTCAGGAGAGGCTGTCAAGAAGCGGTTGTCAGTTGAACGAATTTATCAGAAGAAAACCCAATTAGAACACATACTTCTGCGGCCTGATTCTTATATCGGTTCCACATTGAAAGACACTCAGCAAATGTGGGTCTTGGATGAGAGTCAGCAACATATGGTCAATCGCGATATCACATTTTCTCCTGGTCTCTATAAGATTTTTGATGAAATCCTGGGTATGAGAATGTTGTTATTTTGATCTGTTTAGTAAATGCTGCCGACAACAAAGTTAGAGATCCTACCATGTCATGTATAAAAATCGACATTAATCCGTAAGTATATTTCTTTATAATTTTTCCCAAAGTGCTGAGAATATGATCCGAATCTGGAATGACGGCAAAGGAATCCCAGTTGTTCACCACAAAGTTGAGAATACCTACGTCCCTACTCTGATATTCGGCCACCTACTCACTTCAAGCAATTATGATGATACTGAACGGAAAGTGACAGGTGGAAGGAATGGTTATGGCGCTAAGTTATGCAATATCTTTAGCAAGAAGTTCATTGTAGAAACATCCTCTAAAGAATACAAAAAAAGTTTCCGGCAGGTATAAGTTTGTATAACAAATTCATTTCTCCAGGTATGGGTCGAAAATATGACAAAGACAACTGACCCAAAAATTTTGGCGGATAAAGGAGATGATTTTACTTGCATTACATTCTATCCCGATCTTGCACGTTTCGGTATGAACGAGCTGGAACAAGATACGGTATCTCTTTTTACACGTCGCGCATATGACATGGCTGCAACCTGTAATGGGGTTAAAGTTTTCCTTAATGGCAAAAGATTACCCATAAAGAGTTTTCTGGACTACGTAAACCTTTTTATCAAACCCAACAAAGATGACGGAGACAGTGTTAAAGTAATTATGGAAATCCATATTAATATTTCGGAATTTTTTTTGACATAACTGTAACCATAAATACCGTCATGTTCTCACCACATCGGTTTCATTTAAACTCCAAAATGCCGACCAAGTCAGGTTGTTGCTGCATCATATCCAGATTCCCGAAATATTCCATGTTCTCAAGCACATTCATTTAGGAACCAAGCATTACGGTCGCTGATGGTTAAAATGTAAAAATGAGTAAAAGATATAAACCAGTTGCTTAATCGATTCCCTGTTTTGAAAGTTTTTCACACAGCTTCAGTCGTGGTTACTGATGTAAAGCTTTTGACTTAGTGGTTTTGTTCATCCATGGCATCCGTAACATCAAATTGGTTAAAGTCATGTTAGTGCCACCCTTAATTATTTAATGTTCGTATTTGATCGAAACCTAGGCAATATTCACCATTTTTGACTTATTATTTCGTTAATATTCTTGTATTCGTGGTGGATGTGAGTCTGCGAATGCAAATTATTTCCATTAAGACAAATAATTCACTGTACTATCAGTTCATCTTTGGTTAGATTCTGTTGGTCCACTTTCCACAGATTTCAAATTGTCAGTTTCCACTCAGAAGAAATATGACTGACCCAACATATCAATGACTTGTTCTTGTAGGTTCTATAGGTTTCTTACTCCTGAGGTCACCTATTTAGTGAATCCATAATTATTTCACCAATGTTGTAACCAAACAGACACTGACACCAACAATATGTTTACCATCTATCTTTTCTAACTAAACCTAACAAAAATGCTCTAGTAGACAACACATTCTATATTAACTGTATTTATATGGTGTTTATCGAAGTATATCAATTTCATCCCATCATAACCTTAAACTGTTACTGTAGTGTAGGCTTTGTTATAATAATTCTTGTTTTATAACCTTATATATTCTGTCAAACTTATCAGTAATTCACGAATTTTTCTGGTTATTCTGCAAATAGGTTGTATATGAAGCAGTCAACCCGCGTTGGCAGGTAGCAGTAGCAGTTAGCAATACGGGCTTTCAGCAAGTCAGTTTTGTTAACAGTATTGCAACTACTAAAGGCGGAACACATATTAATTATGTGAGTGATCAAATTGTAAACAAGTTAATGGAAATCGTCAAAAAAAAATCCGGAAAATCTGGTGTCCAAATCAAACCTTTTCAAATAAAGAATCATATGTGGTTGTTTGTCAACTGTCTCATAGAAAACCCCACATTTGATTCCCAAACAAAGGAGAATATGACTCTGCAGACAAAAAGTTTCGGGTCTACGTGTACTCTAAGTGAGAAGTTTATTGGACAGGTGAGAAAAGTTTTTTCTATGCTTTTTGTGTCTTGTCATGCTTTGTGTCCAAGTATTATTGTTTCAAACGTATTTAGTCTCACTTTTATTTATTGATTTACATAGTAGGTTCTCACATTCACTTTGATCTTTCTTTGGTATCTTGATTAGATATTCTTACCAGTCTGGCGGCACTTGTTCTTACTTCCAAATCTTCCTGAATAGAACGTGGAGCATGTCTGCATTTTTTGCTATGTCTGACCTTAGTGCTTCGGCTGGTATAGTGTCAGGCCCTGCTGATTTCCCACTCTTGATTTGTTTGATGGCCATCCAGAAGGTCTGTAGGTGCCACCTCGATGTCCGGTGGTTTTAGCCAATCTGGTCTATTTAAGAGTTCCTCGAAGTATTCTACCATTCTGTTCTTGAATCTCGGTGATCGCCTTTTTTGTCCTTAACCTGTCTCTCTGGTTTAATATATTTCCCTGCTAGTTTCTTCGTTGCATCATATAGCTGTCTCATATTTCTTTCTGTTGCAGCTTTTTCCTCTTTCGTTTCTAGGTTTTTCCACATATTTCTGCCTGTTTGCTTCTGTGTATTCTCTGTTCTTGTTCGGCTGTTGTTAATTAATATCTTTTTCTTCCTTCCTTGAATCGTGTCTAGTTTTCATAGAGATTCACTACTTATGCTTCTTCCGGCCCAGCACCTCCTGACACGTTGAAGTTAGTGCTTCTTTAACTCCTTTCCAATTGTCCTCCATAGCAGTTTCTTCTCTGAGTAGGTCTTTAATGCTTGTAACCTGTTGTTGTGAGTTATCTTGAGTTTTTCAGTATGTCGAAGAAAGGCTGTATTGAACCTTTACAATGTTGTTTTTCCAGTTGTGCAATGTTTATTTAGCTCTAGTTTCATCTTGGCAATAACCAGGTGTCAATCTGAATCTGTCAGTTCCTCTCCTGGTTCTCATGTCTCATTGTCCTGAATTTTTTACTGATGCAAATATGATCTATTCAGCTTTCTGTAGTGTGATTCAGTGAGATTTCTTTTAATAATGAGTGTGTAAAGAAATGGAGTCGCAATCTTAGTTATTGATAGTCAATTCACCAATAATAAGTAATGCTACATTTTAACTATTTTTAGATTGTTAATATCAGCATTTTTCTTGGCCTTGGAAGCATTTTTCTTATAACAAAAGTGTGAATAATTTGAGTACTTGAGGGTCTTGGACTCTTTAAAATGTGTTGGTATGTTTACTGTTGAGATTTTGTAACATTGGTTAGTTTACTAGTTACGTATCATCTTTGTGTTAACAAATTGTAATTTCTATTTTTCATACATTTACGTTCATATGTTTTAGGCCTCAAAATCGGGTATAGTTGAAAATGTACTGTCTTGGATTCGTTTTAAAGCAATGGAAAAAATGGACAAGCAATGTCACAAATCCAAACATTCTAAGCTCAAAGGAATACCTAAATTAGATGATGCAAATAATGCAGGGACTAAAAATTCTTCTCAATGCACTCTTATTTTAACAGAGGGTGACTCAGCCAAAACTTTAGCTGTGGCTGGTCTTGGAGTTGTCGGTAGAGACAATTATGGTGTCTTTCCATTGAGAGGCAAACTACTGAATGTTCGTGAAGCATCTAACAAACAAATTATGGAAAATGCAGAAATAAACGCACTGATTAAAATTCTTGGACTCCAATACAAACTGAAATATGAGTCGGCGGATACGCTGAAAGATTTACGCTACGGCAAGTAAGTCTGACATTCCTTACTATTTGGAACTTTCAGGCTATATATATATATATATATATATATATATATATATATATATAGTGGGTGGTTAGTGGTTAGTTTTCACCTATGTGATCTTATTTGTTTTTTCATTTACAGGATTATGATTATGACTGATCAGGATCAGGATGGTTCTCATATTAAGGGTTTAATAATAAATTTTGTTCATTGTAACTGGCCAAATTTACTAAAGCATAACGTAGTAGAGGAATTCATTACTCCAATTGTAAAAGTGTTTAAAGGGAAACAAGAATATTCTTTCTACAGCTTACCAGAATTTGAGGAGTGGCAAAAATCAACTCCAAACTGGCATACTTGGCGTGTAAAATACTACAAAGGTACGTCTTGTTTCAATTGTTTGTTATATTTCCTTTTACTCATTAGCACGAAACATTCACTAAGAGTCTTACATTTTAACTTCTAATCAACTCTACGTTGCATTATTTCTCATATTAGGTTTGGGTACTTCAACAAGCAAGGAAGCTAAGGAATACTTTTCTGACATGAATCGTCATCGGATTCGATTTCGCTACAGTGGGACTGAAGATGATGGGAGCATTCAATTGGCTTTCGACAAAAGTAAGATAGCTGATCGTAAAAACTGGTTGACCAACTTTACACAAGAACGTAAACGTCGACGTGAATTAGGTCTCCCGGAGCCTTACTTGTATGGGAAAGATACTCGAGCAATAACTTATCACGATTTTGTTCACAAAGAGCTAGTGTTGTTTTCGAATTTGGACAACGAACGGAGTATTCCATCTGTTGTAGACGGGCTGAAACCTGGCCAAAGAAAGGTTAGCATCTCAGAAATTTTACAAATTTATAACCAATGTTCCTCAGGTGTATCGAGTTACAACTATAGGCTTACTCATAATTCTCACAAGTCCAATATTTTTGTTGTTGCTTTTGTTCAGTTCACCAGAAAAATACAGTATGTCTACGTTTTGGTATTACTGTATGCTGTGAACATTGATCGACGTTACAGTTAGGTTTATAAATTAATTCTCGGACAGTTATTAGGTATAAAATCTTGAGTTCTTATTATTTTTAAAAAGTGTTTATTACTATTCAAAATTAATATCAGCTTTAACACACGGACGCTCTTTAAATGAACGTTCTCATTCTCAATATCGTTATTTACAGTTATATTCTAATGTTGGTGTTTTTACTAAGCTACGGTATCACCTACAGTATTCTATCTCTTGTGAGAAAATCTCGTCAATAATCATTAATAGATATTTAAGAATTAAGAATAGTAGTAGACAACATACAAATCCAAAACACATTTTGTTTGACAATAAACCTCACAAACAAGTTTTATATATACTTTTCTGATTTTAAGACTTTTAACTAACGAACACTTTTATCCTCTTAAATTTTGACTTTATGTTTCCTTTTTTTTCTAGGTACTGTTCACCTGTTTAAAAAGAAATCTTATTAGAGAAATTAAAGTTGCTCAGCTCGCTGGTTCTGTTGCTGAACTGTCGGCTTATCATCATGGTGAACAATCCCTGATGAGCACTATTATTGGTTTAGCTCAAAACTTTGTCGGTATGTTTTATTTATTTTCGAGTACTTCAAAACAGTATTCTCCGTATATATATAGGGCTACTTGATGAAATCCCGCCTCATCTACTTAAGTTTGGGAAAACTAGTAGTTTATTTTGAATCCAGGCTCACGAATATATATTTGATCACAGTTAAACGGCTTATGTTTCGAAGTTTGTTAGGTATTGATTCCTTATGCTAAACAGGTTTTGTCCCTTCATGTTTGATCTCTAATGTTGTTTTGAATTTCTTCTGAATATTGCTTCAGGAAAAAACCCACAAAACTGATATGTCTTTAAGACTGGTTGATAGCTTCGTCTTGAAACCATCGTTTATTCACTGCTAAATACTAACTACTAAACCGGAGTGTCACTTAGTTACTTTCCTTTCATAGTAATACTTAAGAGTGAAAAAACTGGATGGAATACCAAAATATTACTAAAGCATCTAATTACTACGGGGAGGAAAACCATTTAAGTCATTAAAATGAATGGTGTCTCGGCGAAGAAAACTTCCTTTTTCGACGATAGCATTTTCGTAAGCTTGTATAATCGTGTTTATATTTAATTTTGCACGTAGTCTACAATAGAATAGATCAGTGTTACATCATTAAAAAAAATTATACTAGTTAGACGTTGTTAGGTATCAGGTATAAGTCTATAGAAAATGGAATGGTTTTGGATCATAAAGTAATCAAAATTTTCGAGAGACTTCAACTATTGAGTATGACAATACACAGAAGGGTATTGTTTCATTTAATAAAATAACCGAAGTCCTTAAAAGCTTTCAATGTATTCAACGAATAGAAGTACTCCACTTCGTAACAAAGTAATCAAATATTACCAAAGGATTAAATTATCTAATACTTTTAGAGATAATTAATAACTTATTGAAGAAATATAGACGACAACTGTTTACTTTACGATGGTGATAAGATAATAATTAAAAAATGATAAAAGCATGGAAGAATAAGGAATTGAACATTAATCTTGTACAAAGAGATCAGTTTTGAACTATTATATCTTATCTGCAAAGTGTGCCTCTGTGACTGGTTGTCTCGCGTGAATATCTGGCAGTTAAAAGTAGTTCTGTTTGATAAATTTATAAACATACTTCTGGTTCATATCGGAAACTTGCGTCAAATTTAAATGATCTTCACAAACCACTCAGTCAGTAATTTTCTCTCTAGCTACTGACCTAGAAATACAGATTCCCGAAGTTCTGGTGGCAAGTTATGACTGGTAGAGATCAGTCATATCAGTAATATAAAGTTCTTTGCTCTCCGCGAGCTCGTTTCCTAGTGTATAATTTATTTACACAGATTGTTGTGTTGAGTTTGAAAATATCACATGAGTTTTATTCTTGGTCGTGTAAGAAGCTGTTCTTAAAATGTTTTATTTTAAATAATTATTTATCCTTAGGATCAAATAATTTAAATTTGCTTCAACCAATTGGTCAGTTTGGTACGCGACTTAGTGGAGGTAAAGATGCTGCATCTCCTCGTTATATATTCACTGCATTGAACTCACTTACACGACTTATTTTCCATTTGGAGGATGATCCTCTGTTAAATTATCTTTACGATGATAATCAACGTATTGAACCAGAATGGTATGCTCCAATAATTCCTATGGTCCTTGTCAATGGAGCAGATGGTATCGGAACTGGCTATGCAACACATATTCTCAACTATAATGTTATAGAGATAATAAACAACCTTTATCGTATGTTAGATGGTGAAGAACCGCATCGTATGTTGCCGAACTTCCGTGGCTTTACTGGTACCATTGAGGTAAGAAAAAAGTGCACTGGATATTATTATTGTTAATGTCGTTTGTTAGATTATGTGCTCCACTGTCATGCTGTACTTATCACTATTTACGTATCAATAAATAAATTTATTTTTAGGATTTGGGTAATAATCGTTATGTTTGCTATGGAGAAGTTGCTGTTCTAGATGATGATACTTTGGAGATTACTGAACTTCCTATCCGGGTCTGGACACAGAATTACAAAGAATCGGTTTTAGAACCTATGTTGAATGGTTCAGAAAAGGTCCCTGCTTGTATCACGTAAGTAAATATTCCTTTCAACCTTCATATCTAAAATTTCCTAACTTTTAAGAAAATGCGTATAACTTTTATTTTGTTCATTCTAGAGATTACAAAGAATATCATACAGATGTCACTGTGCGGTTCGTTGTTAAGATGTCTCCTGAAAAATTGCGGGAAGCTGAATCTACTGGACTTCATAAATTCTTCAAACTTCAAACAGTCATGAGTACCGGTTCGATGGTTTGCTTCGATCCTTTAGGTTGTTTAAAGTGTTATCCCAACGAGATGGTTATTATCCGCGAATTCTACGAATTACGTCTTACATGGTAAGTCTAATTAGTGTTTGTAACTGACGTGATTGTCAACTAAGATTTCCCACAATTTTCAGCCGTTTATACACATCGTAAGGTACAAACACCGTTAAGGGATTTAGTATTAAGTCCCATAGTAATCGAGTGTCTGTCATAATAACCCGTTTGAGCTACACTAGCTTCTCATACTCGTTTCTTCAGATCCTATCAACCCAGCGGGGTCAGTCGAAGAGAATTGAAACGAGGAGCAGCAAATATAAAGCTTGAAGACAAAATCTTATTACCAACTGTATTGATAATAGTTGGATGTTTCCTTTGGATAACCAGGTTCTCCAATGATATTACATTCACACAACAAAATGGGGTGTGTGGAAAGGTCAACCTTAAGAATAATACATTACCTTGCTGCAAAAACTTCCGGTGCCGGTGATGAGAACCTGTAAAGCTTTATACGTTAAAAGCTTTTCACAAGAAGGCAGTGCTTGACTGACACCTAACAACTGTCTCTTGGGATCTGCGAGCACGCTCTCAACTTGTTAAGACCATTGTTAACTCCTCCGGAATAATATTCAAAATTTATAAGAAGTGGAGTATGAAGTGAATCTGTTTCATTTTTGTCGATTCTAAATTTTGTCATCAATAATCTTAAATCACTGGTTTTGACTATTTTTCAAACCTCATCCAGACCATTTAGAACTCCTGTACCATGTTTTTGTTTGGTCATTCTTGGAATTATTCTACTTGTCCCTGAATTCAGTCAGCATTTAATTTCATGGAAAGTGGCAAAGAAGCCTGTGTAGCATTATTCCAGTCACTAGTTGTTAGATGTTTGTGCTATAACCATTTAGTTAGAACAAGTTACTGACTTTTTAATTGATGATCAGAGTGTTCATGCTATTTCTGTTCCTTTTAAAGTTGTCTCTTTCACGATAACTATTACGTCTCGATAATTTAGTGTATATATTTTCAAATGCTAACTGTTAGTGACCTGTTAATGTATAACGTGATGATACCGCCAATTAGAGAGCAATGAATTATCGATCGGACCAATGACGCATAAAAACCAGTACGAGCAGTCTAGAGTCCTTATCGGTCCTTATTCCCGCTTAGCCCAACCAATTATTTCCAGAACACCAATCTCAGCCTCTGCGGTATGAATTACTTATTTGAAACATAATGGATTTATATACCAACCAGGCAAACCACATCGTACCATAGAATAGGAAACAACATTTGTACAAAATTTAGACAAATGTGGCTGTTAATAAGGGGGATAGTAATCGATTTATAGGGTTTGACTCAAGAATGGTAAATCATATAATAATAGTTCATAGGCTAAAATAAAGCTCATAATAAGAAGGACATGATTATGAATAGTTTAGTTATTTAACAATTATACGATGAAAATATGCGTATAGTATTAGTTCAGAAATGGATTCCAAAAATTACCATTCATTATTCTTATCGGTATATAACACTACCATGAACGAGAAACGTAGATGACTTCCTCTTCTTTTCACCCAACCACAGCTAACCTAAATTTAAAAGGCAATGATTGCTTAAAATCTATTAGATCTAATGGGATAACCAGTTATGTCACAAAACAGGCGAACTAACTTAAAAACACCATTAAAAGCTTTGAAAGTGAGAAACAAATGAGGTTGAGGAATTTGGCGATTAGTGTGGAATTGAAACTTAAATCATACATATTATGAAGGTGTAGGCGCTCTGATTTATTTCTTTTTTGGGGTGGGGGGGTGGAAGTAAACAAATTTAATACATTAATTTACTTACCAATCCAACCCGACCGTTGTTGCTACCTTGACGTGGTGGTCGGGCTTGCCTATCGTGATGAAGCAACCGAGCTATACTGGCTGGAACAACCGTTCCTCAAGGTCCTACCATGTCAGACAGGTCGGTTGAAGAGCGGTAAGACTAAAAGCAACAAACCCAAGGTCCGAAGGCGAAGTCGTACTGCTGACTGTACAGAGGTGTGACAGCAGTAAGGTGTTTCCTTCAGACAACCAGCATGACAGCGATGCTGCCTTCTCACAAGGAGGGGTGGGGTTAGAAAAGGTCGACCCTAAAAATGCACACCTCACCTTACCTCACGGATTTCCGTCTCCGGCGGTAAGGCCCTTTGAAGAACGGAGCTAACACGTCGAGAACCTTCCACAAAAAGGCCGTGCGCGACCGGCCTCAAGCAGTTGTCCCTTGGGCACTGCGGTCACGCTCTCAGGTCACTGAGACCACCTCTAATCCAATTTCCTTTTCAGGTACCTCCAGAAGAACCCTTCCACGGTGTGGGCAACCGGGAAGTGATAACCGCCCTCATACCTCTAACAGCACCCAAGACCACTGTATTCATAATCAACCTTCCTCTTCAATTCCTATTATTCCTCCTACATCGACTTTCAACTCTAAACTTCCTCCTTCGGCTTCCTCCTCAAGTATCACCATAGCCAACGATTCTAGTGCTCAAAACTCTGTCCCAGGTCTACTGAAACCTCGCTCCAAACTACACATTGGAGCTTTCAACGTACGCACTCTATGTCAAATCGGTCAGCAGGCTTCCTTGGCTAAAACCCTAGAGTCTCTTTCCATTGATGTATGCTGTGTCTCCGAAACACGCATACAGGATCCCAGTGTGGTCATTCACTTGACCTCACCTCGGCAAAACGGAGAGCCAACGAGATACACCCTTCGTGTATCTGGTGACCCGATGGCCAGTTCTCGTGGACTGGCAGGTGTAGGCATAGCACTAAGCATGAGGGCCGAACAAGCACTGCTAGAGTGGATCCCCGTCAACAGTCGTCTATGTGCTGTTCGGCTGAACGGCTACGTAAGAACTCGGAAGGATAGGGACACACGTCGTTGCCTTTTTGTCGTTTCTGTCTACTCTCCCACCGACTGCAGCTCAGATGAAGTGAAAGATGAATTTTACAGAAAGCTGTCCGAACTTCTTCAGAAAGCTAAACGCTCAGACATAGTACTCGTAGCAGGTGATTTTAATGCTCAGATAGGAAGCTTAAACCAAACAGAAAGGCATTTAGGTGGATATTTTAGTATTCCGACACAGCGAACAGATAATGGTGATCGCCTGCTGCAGCTATGCTCAGACAATCGTTTATTTTTAGCAAACACAAATTTTAAGCATAAGGAGAGACATCATCTAACGTGGCGACCGCCTGCACCAAACCAACGATGGACTCAAATAGACCATATTGCCATCAGTCATCGTTGGAGAGGGTCGGTAGAAGATTGTCGCTCATTCTGGAGTACCTGCTTGGACTCCGACCACGCCCTAATACGGGCACGCATCTGCTTGCGCCTCACTGGACGCAAAAAAGCCACAGTAAAAAGACCCATTAGGACCGAACTGAGTAGCGAGGAAACCAAAAGTAGGTTCCAGGAACAACTGAGGTCACGATTAGGTAGTTGTGAAGACGAGGCTGACCCAGATGTTGCTTGGAAGGGCATACAATCAGCTGTGGAAACAGCAGTGACATCTATTAGTGACTTAAACCACAGAGTTGCAAGGAACCAGTGGATTTCTTCAAGGTCTGTCACACTGATGGATTCTCGCAAACTCATCCCATCAGGTTCTGAACGTGATGAAGAGCGAAAACAAATCAGATCTAGGTTAAGAAAAAGTCTAAGGAACGACCGTGAGCAGTGGTGGGTAACGAAAGCAAAAGAGATGGAAAAGGCGGCGACTATAGGGAACACAAGACAGCTTTACAGACTAATAAAAGAAACTGGAATTAATAAGTCAAGTGTAAGTGAGATTATTTCGGAAAAAGATGATACTCTCATCTGCTCCCAGTCCAGACGTTTAGAACGATGGGCGGAACATTTTAGAGAACAGTTCAGCTGGCCTTCAGCTACTCTACAACTACCCTCCATTCCCAGACAATGTGAATGGAACATTGAAGTAGGTCCCCCAACTCTTGCTGAAGTTCAAAAGGCTATAGTTAATCTGAAACGAGGAAGGGCAGCTGGTCCAGATGGATTGGCTCCAGAGGTCTTTAAGGATGGTGGTCCAATTTTAGCGATTAGGTTGACTAACATTTTAGCTAAGATCTGGGAATTAGACTTTATCCCATCTGACTGGTCGCAATCACTTATCGTCCCAATATATAAGAAAGGGTCAAAATCATCCTGTGACAACCACAGAGGGATAAGTTTAACAAACATAGTATCTAAAATACTGGCCTCGATAATTATCAGACGCCTAACTAAGACTCGTGAACTACAAACTCGAGAGAACCAAGCTGGCTTCAGACCTGGTCGTGGCTGCATCGACCACATATTCACCATTCGTCAGGTTCTAGAACACAGGCATACCTATCGGCGTCCGACGATGGTGGTCTTTCTTGACTTAAAAGCAGCGTTTGACTCTGTAGACCGCGAGACTCTGTGGCAGTGTCTGTCATTGAAAGGCGTACCTCAGAAGTACATAAACCTTGTGAAGGCTCTTTACTCGAACACTACTAGTCGAGTCAGAGCTTATGGCGAACTGTCATCTACTTTTGCAACTTCAAGTGGTGTCCGTCAAGGCTGTCCACTTTCTCCATTTTTGTTTAACTTCATCATAGACCTATTGATGGAAATAACACTCTCGTCGACTGAATTCTCGGGTATTGATCTCCTTCCAGGAGGTCCACTTATCGACTTAGAATACGCAGATGATATAGTCCTGTTTGGTGAAGAGGCTGACAAAATGCAGAGTCTTCTGGTAGCACTGAGCAACAATGCCAGAATGTTTGGGATGCGCTTCTCTCCCTCGAAATGCAAGTTGTTGCTTCAGGACTGGTCTGCGTCAACACCTGAACTAAGGATAGGGAGTGAAGTAGTTGAACGCGTCGACAACTTCACTTATCTTGGAAGTCTGATCAGCCCTAATGGGTTGGTGTCTGACGAAATCTCAGCACGGATTCGAAAAGCTCGATTGGCTTTTGCCAACTTGCGCCACCTATGGCGAAGGCGAGATATCCGTCTATCAATAAAAGGACGAGTATACTGCGCGGCAGTCCGTTCTGTCTTACTTTACGGCAGCGAAACATGGCCTTTAAGAGTAGAAGACACCCGTAAGCTACAAGTATTTGACCACAGATGCCTTAGAAATATTGCTGGCATCTGCTGGGATCACCGGGTAAGTAATAGTGAGATTAGACGCAGGGTATTAGGGAATGATGGTAAATCAGTTGATGAGGTTATGAATCTTCATCGACTGAGATGGTTGGGCCACGTATTACGTATGCCTGAACACCGATTACCACGACGTGCAATGCTAACCGGTGTAGGGGATGGTTGGAAGAAAGTTAGGGGCGGCCAAACCAAAACGTGGCATCAGTGCTTGAAGTCACTAACTTCTAGTCTTAGCCATGCTGGTAGATGCAGACTACTTGGTTGGGGTCCGCGTGACTATCGTAACCAATGGTTGGAGACTCTTGGTGACATGGCTCAGAATCGATCACAATGGCGTCGGTGTATACACTCTTTGTCTTCCCTTAAACTAAGAGATTAAAATCACTTCATACGAACTAATTCTTCCTTCCTATACTATATCCTTATTGCAACCTTTGACCTAACCACTCCTATGAATCCGGTGTTCATCTTGTTGTGCTAATGAGGTATGGCAACCTGGACCGATGCACATATGTGCCTGGTCCTACGTTGTAGCTGACTGACTGACTGACTTACCAATCCAACAGTTACTAGCCGTTGCTTGAACTTCTATGTTTTGTCAACTGATTTTTTTCGTTGCCTGTGAACACAATGTACATCTATGTAACTATTTACAAATTCTTTAAAACAAGTTTGATTACATTTTCTATATACAGTACTTATAGAAGTAAAATGATTGATATCGATTATGTAGGTATGAAAAACGGAAGGTCTACTTAGAAGGTGTATTGTCTGCAGAGGCTCGGAAACTAGAGAATCAAGCCAGGTTCGTCCTTGAGAAAATTCAGTCTATTATGGTGATCGAAAATAAACCAAAGAAAGAATTGATTCGTATGCTTAAGGAAGCCAATTATGATTCAGATCCTGTTAAGGCATGGAAAGAAAGCATAGACAAAGCAGCTGCTGTGCGGGAACAGGAAGAATCTCGTACAGATGAAGGTGCCCCTCAAACTGAAGCGGTTGAAGCAGGTCAACCTGACTACAACTATATTTTAAATATGCCTTTATGGAGTCTGACAAAAGAGCGCAAAGATGACTTACTTGCTCAAAGAGATGCTAAGCAAAAAGAATTACTCATTCTAAAAAGTAAATCTCCTTCCGATTTGTGGCGTGAAGATCTTAAGAAATTAGAGGAGGAGTATAAGGTATTTTCTTATTTGATCATTTTGTAGTTTTAGTAAACTATAAATATATATATAAATATATGAACCCGAAGATCCCTGGTACGGCCGATAGTAGGGAGAGTCCACTGTCCTTTTTTAAATACTCTCACATGACCACACATATACAACCACTAACATGGAAGTCCTCACAGCGGGGGTGTTGTTTACGAGATTGAAAGAACGAAAAGCGAATGTCCGGCGCTTTAACCGGATTGGTGGATATTGTGCATCCATCTGGGGGGATTGGAAAAGCCTGATTCTAAACTAATGACGTACATAGGCTCCAGTATCCTGAGGGAACAAATGGTTTGTGAACCAATTATTGTTCACCGGCTACCATGAGACTGCATCTCGTAACGTTGCTTGACTGTTTTGTGAATTAGACGTCTAGGCCGAAGGCTCCGGGTGTGGCCCCTTAAGAAAACCATCTGCTTCGGTCTGAGTACCCAGGCAGTATCATATCTCACACACAAATCAAGTGACTTGTGTGACAGATATGTATTCAGTGCCCCTTTGTACCAATATTTATGTGTTCAAATAATAATAATAATACTTCACGAGCCTGCATCTTTTAATAACAAAATGATATCTCTTTACATATGATTTTTGTTCAGAAAGTAGAAGCGGAGTTGGCCGCTGATGAACAGGCTGCAATTGAAGCAGTTGAAAAAAAATTAAAAATAGCATCGACTACGACAGCTGGTCGTGTTGCTGCTACAAAATCACGTAAATTAGCAATGGAAACAAGACCAGATCCAATGGGTAGACGAATTGTTCCGACAGTAGATGCTGATATGATGAAGAAGGTGGAGGGAAATAAGAAGAAACGTAATAAAACAGAAAACGATCTAAATGAAGGTTTGTTTTTTTGTATTATGCTTTTGCTGTTAGTGAGAAGAAATCAATTATAAATTACAAATAGGTCTTCTATTGTATGTTAATTTTGTTTATTTCATAGATGTATACGAATTGCGCAGTTGATATATTTTGCAGTTTCATTCATTCACTGAAAATAATTTTCTTTAAAATGGATACTCATTTTGACTACTGAAACATCATCGTTATGTGTCGCTTAGTGTTTGTGAGCGAAATTGTTGTCATGTACCATATGTTTTTAATTTGATTTTCTCCTACTCTTTTTAACTGTTGGTTTGAAACATTTTCTTAATTTTGTTTCGAGTTCTTAGCGTATATTTGCTCCCACTCGTCTCAATTTCCTTTTTCTTTCTATAAGGTAACGAGTTGGATAATAGTTTCGAAGCGAATGATGAAGAAAACGATGGAAATGATGAACCTAAACCGCTTGCTCAGCGTCTTGGTGCTTCTGAAAAAACAGATGTACAGAAGACAGCTACTACACGTGGACGTGGTAAAGGAAGAACTGTCCCAACAAGTCGTCCAAAGCTTCTGAAACCATCTAGTCCAAGTGAGTATTCTTCGGGTGAATACTGATCATTGATATATAAAAGCATGTAATAGTCATTTTTTACTATTATGGTTAAAGGTTACAGCATGGTGGACAAACAAATTTATATGCGTTTGCTAATTCCCTCTTATTGGTTTTTTCATATTTTTCAACGGTCTTATTTAATATAAATAATTATACCTATGAACTGCCATTGCTGAAAATAAACATGTTGGTACATTTTTCTTTTAGATATTAGTCCTATTAAACGTAGAAATGTGGGTGGAAATGCCAAGCGTAAACGGTCTAGTCGTATGCCATGGGAGTCTGGCTCTGACACCGGAGACTCAGAAAGTCAAGTCTCTATTGATAGTGATAATGATTATATTTCCCCAATTTCCGGTTAGTGTTCTTTATCTTTCCAAGCTGTATATTAATCTGATTTTCGATGATTTGTTCGTTGTTATTATTTACTTTGTTAAATGTAAATTATAGTTTTTGATAAGGGGTTCCCTGAACTGAATGATTTAATTGCGAAGCTTCATTTGTCATTCTAGATAGCAACGTTGTCACTGTTCACTTCCATAAATCTAACCACACCATGTCAACTTTATATAACAAGTTAATAAAGTATATCTTTTTCACTGCATTCACATCTGTTCAACTTTAATCACTGTCTACTATTCTATTACATTTATTATTAATATCCATAAACCTACATTAGCCAGTTTTTTCGTCAAAAATAATATTTTGAAAGGTTTTATTTATGGATTTACAAATTTTTAGGCATTAATAATTTATTTCGATGGAATATAAGTTGGGGAGCTTGGATTTACTTTCAAGTTTCGCTATAATATTTATTGTATCAGTGGGTCGGAAGTAGATTACATTCTCTATCATAGTATAATTACTAAATTATCTCAAAATTGTAAATATTATGATGTGAAACTTTCTTTTGACAACTAACTAACTAGTAACTAATATATGGAGCCATATTCATTAATTTTCACCCCATTTTCAACTTTGTCATATTTTCTTCTGTTTCCTGGCCGACCACTTTTGGTCGAGTCAGAGTTTGTGGAATTGGTTACTGTAAATGGTGTTCGTCAGGGTTGTCTGCTTTCTTCATTTTTATATAGATTTATCCTAGTCATGGTTTTATAGATAACTCTCTCATCGTCTGACTTTCCAGGAGTTTATTTTCTACCATGAGATTCACTTGTTGACTTAAAACACGGAGTTGATATAATTCTGTTTGGTGAAGACGCTGACAAAATACAGTCTTCCGACCAACTTAAGCAAGAATACAAGCATGTTTGGGATGCGGTTCTCTCCCTCCAAATGTAAAATTTTACTTCGGGATTGGCTTGCGTCACCGCCTGAATTAATGATAGGCAGTGAAGTAGTTGAACGCATCGACTGCTTCACTTATCAGTCCTAATGGTCTGGTGTCTGACGAAATCCCAACACGCATTTAGAAGGCTCGATTGGCATTTGCCAACTCGCATCAATAATGACGTATGTGGGATATTCGTCTTCCAACTAAAAGGTGAGTTTATTGTGCAGCAGTTCTCTCCGTTCTACTTTATGCATTTCAAACATGAGCATTGTAAGAGTATAGGATGTTTGTTAGTTACTGGTCTTCGATTATAGGTATCTAAGAAGCATTGCTTGTGAATTTTGGAACCACGGAGTAAGCAGTGCATGGGCTAGAAATCGGGTTCTAGATGTTAACAGGAAATAGATTGATGAGGTGGTAAATCTTTGTCAACTGAGGCGGTTCGGACATGTCTTACGTACACGCAACTGCCACCATGAAGTCACTGACAGTTGGACTTAGCCATGTTAGTAGGTACGAAATACCTGTTTGGAGTCCTCGTGATTATCTTAACTACTGGTTAAAGACGTTGAATGACACGGCTCAAAATCGTTTGCAATGACTCATGTGCATCCATTCTTTGTCTTCCAAATTTTAGATTTCTCCCAACTATTTTTTGTTTTTATTTCTCTAATTTATATTTTCTTTTCGAGTCGTATCTTCGATGCCTGATCTTTCTTATTACCACTAATACTGTTTCTACCTCTTTTATCCTAGGGTTTGGCCTGACAACATCTCTCTGTACTAATGTAATGTGGCAACTTGAGCCGATGTACATATGTACAGTTTCTACATTGTGACTGATTGATATTTTCTTCTGTTTAAGCAACAGGATAGATGTTGCTCAAAACGTAGTGAATATCCACTACCTTATTTTATAGATTTTCTTGTAATCTCAATTACACCCGCTAATTCTCAATGTGTTGGCATGCGAGTTTGTAGCATTTCTGGACAATTTACGAAATAATGATATGCATCAATGACTGCAAATCGACACAATCAACCATACATTTATCCATCTGAGTCATTGATAAGTTTATTTGTATTGCAGTTAATAACGTCTTAAGATACTAACAGTCGTCTTCTGATGAAAGTTGATTATTTCGAACTAACTAGATCGTAATAAATAATTAGTTTGTTACGCCAAACATTCGCTTCATTTTCATAACTTAAATTACTATTTGAGGCGTGTTAATTTGAATGGTTACTGAGCTGACCTCAATATTTTCAACACAATGTACTATGGAGCATTTTATAATTTGTATCAAAGTACTAAATTTCTGAAGTTCGAGATCTGTCATTTCCTTTCAATGGTACATACTTATATATCTGCTCTTAGTTGTTGTTTGCTATTCGATCACAAGGCTAAAGTTGTAATTTATATGTAAGTTCATTATAATGTCTGTATATTTATGTAAGTTGTGATTTACACTTATTTCTTCAGTGTAAAAGCTTATGTACTGTAGTCAACGTACATTATTGATAATTATTTTTGTTACTATTTAACATCATTCATGTTTAACTACTTCACTCTTCAATCATGTAGGTGGACCTGCTGTCGATCGTGTACGACGTGAAAAAGCTGCAGCAACAAAATATGTTTTCGATAACGACAGTAGTAGTAATGAAGAAGATAATGAACAAGAGGAGAATTTTCAAGTTGTTGATCATGGACAAGGAAATAAAGAGATTGATATACCGATTGTCTCAGAAATTCCAGACACTAAGTCATCATCAATCCCATCAAGTAGCCATGGTGGTGGTGCATCTGTAAAGGCTGAGTGAGTAATCACTTTCATGTCTTCTACGCATTTCGTCTTCATGTGTTACTTTTTGCTAAAACTCTAACCCACTATTCCTTTTTTTACTTGTCTTATGGTTATTCATATATATATATATATATATATATATATATATATATATATATATGATGTAGTTTGTGACACTCATTCGTATTTCACTAATCTTGTTCGGTACAGGTTAAAATCCCTGCCGCTGAAAATCACAATTCGGGGTAATCGTCTATCTTATATAATGTATATCTCATTATTTATAAGAATTTCATCATCAGTAACTAGAAAAATGCAAATCATAAATATTATAGGAACTGAATAAGGAAATTACATTGTAAATGAAGAACTAGATTTTTCTAAACTAACTATCTCCTAAATCATTCAGATATTTGCTTTCTGTTTGTATATATGTATATATATGCTCCATAACTTCTGAGGATATTACTTATCTAGTCTTTCCCCTTATTTTCTGTTTTGAATATTAGTTCTGGGTCAACATCTCGTGGTGCTCCTGGTATTGCATCAGGTCGTGGACGTGGTCGTGGTGGCAAAGGACGGCAGTTTTCAGCTCCACCTAAGTCACAACCTAGTATCAAATCAATGTTTCCTCCTACTCAGAAGAAAACCACAATAAATATTTCAACAGACGATGATTCTAATGATGCCGCAAGTAGTTAGTATATTTCATTAATCATTATTAGCATTGTAGATAACAGTTCTGTGTTTTGTATGTTATATTCACTTGTCTGTTATTTTTCATTTACCGATTCACTGCTACATTTAGATCGTAATACTAGCCAGTCAAACAAGTATCAAGGCGTTAACCTAGTGACTATCATATATAGGATAACCTTACAGTAGCTTTAATTCGTCGAAATCCATTAATCTAAATTTTTAACCGTCTGACTCTAAAATTATCTTCTTGAAATCATAATGTTCATCACAATTTATCGAATTTCATAATAAGATGTGTTTTGGTAAGTCTGAGTAGTGGACGCTCTGTTATGAAACTCGCTTTTTTAAATACTTTCCAAATGTAGGCTGTCACAGCAACTCAGCCTTGATATGGCTAAGGGTGGGAAAGTCTACTGTCGCTCTTTAAATACTCTCACATGACCACACATATACAACCACTAACATGGAAGTCCTCACAGCGGGGGTGTTGTTTACGAGATTGAAAGAACGAAAAGCGAATGTCCGGCGCTTTAACCGGATTGGTGGATATTGTGCATCCATCTGGGGGGATTGGAAAAGCCTGATTCTAAACTAATGACGTACATAGGCTCCAGTATCCTGAGGGAACAAATGGTTTGTGAACCAATTATTGTTCACCGGCTACCATGAGACTGTATCTCGTAACGTTGCTTGACTGTCTTGTGAATTAGACGTCTAGGCCGAAGGCTCCGGGTGTGGCCCCTTAAGAAAACCACCTGCTTCAGTTTGGGCGCCTAACCATTATTCCAGCCCTCATAAATTGAATGACGAAGTGTGGTGCATATCTATTTGGTGTCCCCTTATATCAATGTTTATGTGTTTAAATGAAATAAAACAAATATATTTCTCTGAGTAATCATGCAGATAATCTTTCATTATAATGACTAGATACTCATCAATTAGTGTTTTTACAGTTTTACTTGTAGTCTAGATCATAGTAGTACATCATAATAGATACAAGCTGTTGATAATTCAACTTTTGTTAGTGAAAATAATAGTAAATTTATTTTCGACTTTTTATTGTTTTGTGTAGTATCATAAAAAGAAAATAACTGTAAAAATTGCAATAATTTGACGGTCTTTTTATGATTTATTTATTCTCAAATCAGTAACTACTTCTCAAAAAGAGCCTAGGGTAAATTCTCGACGTACTGTAACAAATCGTGCCCGATACGTATTTGATGATGAAGATGACGATCTAGCTATTGATTCAGATGACAGTGGTGCCAAAAAACAATCCAAAGGTGGTTCACGTAAACGTCAGAAAAACGATGATGATAGCGATTTTGAACCCGAAAAGGTTAAGAAGGGCAAGTAAGTAAGATTGGTCAGACTAATAGTTTCCGTTGATAATAATAATAATAATAACAATAATAATAATAATCTGTTCAAAGAAATTTCAAGTGTTCACAGATCGGTTTTCTCATATATCTGAAATCCATAATTAAGGACGATCAACAGCATTCACTGAAATCCAAAACTTTAAAATTGACACAAACATATTTTCATTTTCCATCATATAAACGATTAGTGTAATTTACTTTTTCATTATGTACACCTAATATACACACATTAACACTGTTTTTCTAAACTTGTTTATTTAAAATTGATGCATGTGAATGAGCGAACAATAGTGTTTAACTTCTACATCTTGAGATAATAAATTTATCTTTGCAGAAATTAATGGAGTTGGAAAAATTACTGGTATTACTTATAAAGGCCAGCATGTTTTCATCTTTCTCTTCAATCTAAAATCTATCAGTAAACATTTGTTTCTCATTGTTTAAGTCACGAACTAGTCTTAGACCATCGTTGAAAATCAGGGAAGCACTGAGTAGCTGTTTCATTCTAGTATGGGATTGCTCAACAATGAGCATCTACAAACCCCCTTCAGAGAATTGAACGCAGGACCTTCGGTCACATGCATGAACGTTTGATCTATGAAAAGTCAACGATCTATATAAATCCCTTACAGTAACACTAACTTTATCCTCACAAGATAGAATTGCTGAATTATTAGTGAAATGCCTTGACCATTGGAGCTAAACCACGTTGGCTGCCAGACTGTTGTCTTTCCCAAACGATTTATAAGGGTTTTTCAGTATCGTAAATTGATTTAGGTTAGGCGTATGCACCCCTGGATGCTAATTCAGTGGTCTAGATGCTGAGTGTTCGGATCCAAGATCGAAGATCCTGAGTTCTATTGATTGTAGTGGGGTCGTGAATACTGGGAGGCTTTGCATTAAAACCAAACATCTGTATAATGCTTCCAACTTTCCAATTGTAGTCTATCTAAGATCAGTACGTGACTAAAACTATGAAGATCCTACAATTTTTAAAAATCCCCTGTACAAATATTTGTTTATTAATAGGTTAAATCACCGTCTAGAAGTGTGTGATTCATTCTTCCTGCACTGATCTTAGCTATAGATTATTTTTCTAGCGGATTTTGTGTATTATTTGTGATATTGAATATTGTTCATTTTTGTTTTCATTTTGGTCCGCATGTTTTAGGTCAAAGAAGGGAGCTCTAGATGACTCAGATTTCGAATTCTCCGACTAGACACTTGTACAGAAATCCTTTTTTGTTTGAACCATTTTTTTGTTAAACAACTGTTATTTCTCTTTTATAAGGTTGCATTGTATTTATTACATATTCCTCCCCGTTTTTTTATTGGATATTTTCGGCCTAGAAATTTATCACATATACTCATATACATATATGTTTCTATAATGTCCATTACCATATTGTATTAAAGTTCATTTTGGTATATACTAATAACTGTTACAGAAATGGATATACTACTTATGATAAAATGTTAACAGTTTAGTATGTTACTTGTTTTTGTGGTTTATATTCTACGTTATTTCTCTTATTGCATTTTTCATAATTATATTAAAACATTTTCTGTTTTTTTACTGCACTAAATAATTTAAAAAAAATAGTTTTTTGTTAAATAGGTCCCACTTTGGGTTTTTGTCGATATTTCTAAGTGTACCTTGTTATGCTTAAAAAATTTTAATCTCATTATTTTATGTGAGGCATACGATAATAATGAATCCTTTCGTTGTGCGGTAATATCTTCATACTAAACAAGTTCCACTAATTGAAATCTAATAGTTTCATGAATCTAAGCTTAGTAGCTTGAATTTGTCATTTTTTCACACTAGTTATAGATTCCTATTTTTAGAGTCGTTTGCTATAGCAGTCCAACCACACTATTAAGTGATACGTAAAATCCATAAAATAAAAAGACAGTATGATTATGATGTAATTATATTACAATACTCAACTTTCGAGGTCTTCGCGATAAAAGATGTCAACTTCTGTAATTTGAGTAGTGTATTTCCTGAATTAGATGACTAAAGATATTTACAAGAATGTTCGTTAGGCTGATTAGCGCCTTTCAACCTAATATGATTACGCGAAGGGAAAAATTGTGGACACGATTAATTAATGCAAACCTATTCGCCACTATGGTGTGTCTGAGAAAATCGTCAACATCATACGGAATTCATACGATAGACCACACTGCAAAGTCGTGCATGCAGTGAAGCAGACAGACGCATTCCAAGTGGGGATTGGAGTCAGACAAGGCTGCTTACTCTTCCCCTTTCTTTTTCTTCTGGTGCTTGACTGGATCATGAAGACCTCCACATTTGAAGGGAAGCACGGAACATAATGGACAGGTTGGATGCAACTAGACGATTCGAACTTGACAGATGACCCAGTTCTTCTATCCCATCCCCACGAACAAATGCACATGCAAACAACTAGTGTAGCTGCAGCGGTCTCTGCAGCAGTAGGCCTCAACATACACAAGGGAAAAGGCAACATCCTCAAATACAACACGGAGAACACCAACCCAATCTCACTTGATGGAGAAGCTCTGGAAGATGTGGAAAGTGTCACCTACTTGGGAAGCATCATCGACGAACGAGGAGGATCAGATGCAGACTAAAAGGCAAGGATTGGAAAAGTAAGGGCAGCATTCCTACAGTTGAAGAACACGTGGAACTCGAAACAACTGTCAACCAATATCAAAATCAGAATCTTCAATACGAACGTCAAGATGTAAAAGTATTTAAAAGCAGTTGTTCACGCAAGATACTGAATGTCCTTTGGCCGGATACCATTAGCAACAGCCTACTGTGGGAGAGAACAGACCAGATTCCAGCTGAAGGGAAAGTTAGGAGATGATGATGGAGGTGGATAGGACACACATTGTGGAAATCATCCAACTGCATCACAGACCACGCCAAAGAGCATTGCGACGTAATTGGGAAGTGGACATCAAAAGTTTTCTGAATTGCTGTGGTTACTGATTATTAGCAAGTAGTATAAGGTAATACACGAAAGTGCAGTTGTAGAAAATGCAGGCAGTTTAAATTGCATTAATGTTAGACTTTTGAGCCTTTGTTTCAGAAAACCTTGGAAACTATTTATATCTCGGTTGTTGGTTGGAATCTTATGCTTTTCGACCTACAGTAGATGTTCGGTGTTGATCTTAAGAAAAGCTAGCGATATTATTGTTAATTATGTTGAGTTACAGTTTTCTTGTGATAGTGGGGATCGTAACTAATATGGGTTTAAACTTAAGACCAGTAATGTAATATTCTACTGTCGTGCAGGTGGTTTTTTCGACACAAATGTCTTCTAAATAGAAGCATCAATAAATAATAGGACTTTGGAGGTAGCATTAAACAAATAGGATTGTTTTACGATAGAGAAATAATTTGATTATGATAGCCTGCAATATCCAGTTACGTACATTAAAGAATTATATTGTTCTAGAGAAGGATTGTCGCGTCACTTGACTGTAAACGTAGGTTTTCTACTCTGTGAATGGTATACGTTTCGTAAATTATCTGATGTGTTCATATCTCTACCTAGTTTGTGAGAAGAATCTTCATTGCCCAAATATTAGTACTAAGAGAGTACTGATGCGTTTATGAAATTAAACAAGGTACCGAACAAATAGATGTAACACGCTATTTTGAAATAACCTAAATTGTCTTCATCAATATCTGTTTACAACAACATATCATGTAGATGGATCCCATAAAATATAAAATGCAAAATACCACGATCTGTTAGTTTATTCTGTTTTTAGAACAGATTCAATGAAATATTAGATATTCATATCACATTTTTAATTTGGTTTATGTTTACCAAATACTAAGACAAGGATTCGTCTAAAACGCTTCATTCCAAAAAGATTATTTAAGTGATCTAATATAATCATTTTAATTTGAAATCATTACATAATCTTTGGAGATTTTCCGATGTATTCGCTATACTTCAGACTTTTCAATTGATGAAAACTCAACAGAGTATGAAATCAAATACCACAAAGGTACTAAACTGTCTTGGTAACATAGAAGAATGAATTGTGATTTTTTATCTTTTGAGGTTAATCTGTGCAGTTTCAAGCCAGAAAAAAGAGCAGGTTTGGGCATGGGGTCAGCAACCTCATTCGGTATAAACCGACGTTCCTAAGAAAACGCTGACCAGGAAACATCATGTAAACCCCTCAGACTCTGTCATGGGTGTTGACGGATCTCCAATTGGAAAAATTATAACGCCTCATGGTGAGAGCTGAGATTTTTAAGAAACTATGTGACCGATGTCCTTTCTGACAATCATAACAGCAATTAAACTAGGTACATGGTGCTTTATTTCCCCAAAAACGCATACAGAAAGCTTCATGGGTATCACCGGGTCACACTACAGAGAACCAGCCATAATATTTTCATCACTGCAAAATCCAGATGGTCAGTGGAAGATGTAAGAACCAAAAGAGGAGCTAAAGCACTAGCATCAGACACAGGTAGAAGCAAAGTTGCTCTGTATTCTATTCAGAAGAGTTTGGCAGGAACAAGTACCGACAAACTGTGAAGAAAGACACATTATCGGGCTACAAAATAACGATCTCTGCACGTGTGAGAACTAGAAAGGCGTCTCACTTCTATCAGTACCTGGAAACGTTTTCAATTGAGTGTTGTTGAACGGAATGACGGATTTAATAGACGCCCAACTTCAAGACCAACAGGCTGAATTCACTAAGAATCAACCATGCAATCGATCGTAGTCTTACAACGCTTCGGATTTCATCACTAAGTTCCTAAATTGCACACTTTGATTCTAGTCATGCTATTTGATAATATATTACATTTAGCGGTAAATGGAACTAATACGTTCAATTTGTAATATTTTTATTTCATGTATAAAGATAGTACTGAATAGACAAATAAGTTACTGGGTCGTTTATTTTCAGTTGGTACCGAATGACGTTTCTATAAGAATATGGATAAGGAAGTAAACTATCAATAAATAGAAATTATATTGAAGGGGAATCGGCCTCATGGGTTCCAAAGAATCTCGGCTTTCACCATGTGGCGATATGATTCTTCTGCATGAAGATCTTTCAACTCGGAAGACGGAGTTTATGTGGTGTAAATAGTTCCTTCTGATTAGCGTTTTCTTTAGCAAAGTTGTTTTCTACGGGATGGGGGTGATGAACCCATGTCCAACCCTCCTTTTTTGCCTGAACATGGGACTGGCAGTAACCCTTCAAGTGCTACAGAAGTAAACAGACGAAGTTGCGACACTACGGATAATCGTTCCACAATCGATTGAATGGAACTCGTCACTATACATCAACTTCCTTGATCATGCGAAAGCATTTGATGGTGTGGATTGGATGACCTTACGGAACCCTCTTCGTCACTATGGTGTGTCTGAGAAAATCGTCAACATCATACGGAATTCATACGATAGAGCACACTGCAAAGTCGTGCATGCAGTGAAGCAGACAGACGCATTCCAAGTGGGGATTGGAGTCAGACAAGGCTGCTTACTCTTCCCCTTTCTTTTTCTTCTGGTGCTTGACTGGATCATGAAGACCTCCACATTTGAAGGGAAGCACGGAACATAATGGACAGGTTGGATGCAACTAGACGATTCGAACTTGACAGATGACCCAGTTCTTCTATCCCATCCCCACGAACAAATGCACATGCAAACAACTAGTGTAGCTGCAGCGGTCTCTGCAGCAGTAGGCCTCAACATACACAAGGGAAAAGGCAACATCCTCAAATACAACACGGAGAACACCAACCCAATCTCACTTGATGGAGAAGCTCTGGAAGATGTGGAAAGTGTCACCTACTTGGGAAGCATCATCGACGAACGAGGAGGATCAGATGCAGACTAAAAGGCAAGGATTGGAAAAGTAAGGGCAGCATTCCTACAGTTGAAGAACACGTGGAACTCGAAACAACTGTCAACCAATATCAAAATCAGAATCTTCAATACGAACGTCAAGATGTAAAAGTATTTAAAAGCAGTTGTTCACGCAAGATACTGAATGTCCTTTGGCCGGATACCATTAGCAACAGCCTACTGTGGGAGAGAACAGACCAGATTCCAGCTGAAGGGAAAGTTAGGAGATGATGATGGAGGTGGATAGGACACACATTTTGGTATTTATCCAAATGCATGACGAAGCAAACTTGGAATCCTCAAGTGAAGACGAATGAATGCGGTGCATCGAGAATAGGATGCATATATCAAAAGGATGAATATCAACTTGAAAGGATTGCTGGTACATAATTTGTTTGATAATGCTGGTGCGTGACCTATGCTCCTTCCTGTGGTGTAAGAGATAGAAGTATGATACTAATTACAGGCTGCACTCACATATTTACTTGATTCTTGTAAAGCTTTTGTACGTTATCATTCTAGTTATTTGTCTGCGTTATTGACGTACTATTCGTTTGTCAGCTTTTGAATTTTTTCTAAAGTCATGTTCTTTTAGTTTTTTTCATTCTGCTTACGGTCATTTTCCGGAATTTTTATATAGTTTTGATTAAGTCTAAACATTATAAATTCTTGTTTTTTTGTTATATGTTCACTAACAGATTGATGGTAAGATTGAAAGTACCAAAGCGATTTTGTATCTCTTCCTAATTGTAAATAAAATATTTTATAAAAATTCTCTACATCAAACCTTTATCTTAATGAAATAATTAGGAAAAAAGTTTTTTAATCAGCGACCTAAAGTATCGAACATTTGTCAAAATTAAAGTATAATAGATTTTTTGCTGGGGAATTACGAATGAAAAATGGGAATATAAATCTATAGA